CAATGATAACAGCAAAAATTGCAATATGAGCACTGGTAAAAAATGATGCTGAAAACATTAGGTTTATAATACTCAGAAGTTCATACCCAGATGTCCTCAAGGACACATGCCACAGTGGATAAAGGCGTTGGTTAGATCCAGTGACAGACCCGAAGAAGGTGAGTTCATTTCCTGGTTAAGGCAGTGGAGAAATTTCAGAGGGAAAATTAGCAGGAGATAACTGATAACTGACATCCATCAAACATGGCACGTGGAACTAGAACAGTCTACCCCAGTGATCGAAATAAAGGGTTCAGTTCGAAATTCCAACCACCTGAAGAAGGCCGGAGCGTACAACGGCCGAAACGTTGTGACAAATATGGCGACAAAGATGAGGAAAATAGTCCGACTAATGTAAATACTGTTAAAAATAATATTATTTAATATATTAAAAATAAAAATTCCAAACCCACATTTTAATCAGATAGGTGAAGGAAAATAAGATAAAAAAGAACTACCTACAGAAATAAGTGTACATTCATACGTACATACATACATACACATATATACACGCGGCGGCAAACACAAACCAACGCACATATACATACACACACACACACACACACATATATATATATATATATACACATAGAAATACATACATATAAATATATAAACATATACATCTTTATGATAACAAGTACACATACACATACATACATATATAATATATACCCACAAATATACACACATATATGCACACATACTCACATATATATATACATATATATACACAGCAATGCACAAATATAAACATATATACACACATATACTAACTCATGTGGCCGTAATGAGATACCCAAGTTTCCATACCTACACATACACACAAACAATCTTATATACAATAGGTGTCAACATACACATATACAACCGCAAACATACATATATATATACACATATAAATATATATACAAACATAAATATATACATACAAATACCAATCTATAATAACAAGTACACATATATACGTACATACACATAAATACAACGACATTCAACCAAATACATATATACACGTACATACATACACATACATAGACATACATCCAAATACAAACACAAAAATAGATGTATCCTAACATACATATATAAACACATTCATACAAACCGAAATATACGTAAATATAAATTAAGATACACAATATAACAGGACACATACATATATATATATATATATATATATACATACATACACATACATACACATATAGACATAAACACACACACATATATATATATATATACATGCATATATATACATATACACATACATACACACATACATATATATACACACATAAATACACATATACATACATATAAACATGCATACACACATACATATATATATATACACACATAAATACACATATACATACATATACACATACATACACACATATATATACATACACATACCCACATACACAAATACACATACATACACATATACATCAATATTTTTAACCTCTTCTCTTATTCTCCTCCTTTTTACCTTTTTAGTTTTATATATATATATACACACACACACACACACACATATATATATATATATATACATATACACACACATACATTTTTATACAAAACCTACCAACATACAAATACACTAATATACAAACATACACATTCCGCAGTACAAACACACATAACTACACACAAATACATACACACACACACACACACACACACACACACACACACACACACACACACACACAGAAAAACGAATAACACTATGTAGTTATACAATACACATTCATATCGTCAGAATGACTATCAGGCAATAAAAGTTATAATCTATTAAACTTACAGCGACATATCATTATCATTTAAAGTATACGACCTCTATAATAAGTTAAATTTATAACGGTGTTTACAATTAACTGTTAGTTCATATCTTTGATTTAAGCGATCAGCCTTGTTTTTAAATATAATAATTTCAAATTTTTCGTTAAGACATAGGTAACATGGGGAATATAGGGAGTTACATGTCCGGGCTTTCTTAATCAATGTCCATTTAACCGTAGGTGTTTTGTTCTTTTCTTTTAGATTCCAATAATACTTGGATAATGAAGTCATGTACCTATAGTCACTGTTATTAAAAGATTGCATATGCCCCCGCCAGCGTTCCTTGAATGTTTTCATGGTGCTACCAATGTAAATTTTCTTTATATTTGGATTCTCAATAGTTGAGATTGTATTAAGATAGACTACAGAACTAATCCCACAGTTATTTTGTAGTGGACAATTATTAGGTTACCTACAATTACATAAGTTGTTATTCGTGTTATTATATTTAGTATTGCTGTTAGTAACCTTTTGAGTAATCAAGCTTTTTGAGTCCCTATACTTGTTAAAGACTATGTTGTTATATTTTTTAATTATTTTCTCTAGGTTATCTGCACAACTATAGCTTAATTTAAGGGTATTAGGATTAAATATTTTACTAAGTCGGTTAGTTTCAGGGTTAGGGAAATGTTTCTTGATGAGGTTTAGAAATATACATCCTAATTTAGTTTTAACCATTATATTGAAAGGGGGAGTGAACCAAATGATCTTTCTAGATCTTCTTTTCTTATTATGGTTGCATTTAACAGGGTTTTTATATTGAATAGTGATATCTTTGTATCCACTATTTTTGAGTGCAGAATTGTAAAAATCACGATGTTTATTAAAAACATATTTGTTAGAAGAGTTAGTGCTAATTCTAAATCCAATGGAAGAGGGTATGTGTTTGATAACTGAAGGGGGTGGTTGGAATTTGGATGCACGTATATCGGGTTGAAATTAACCTTCACATATGGTTGGAAAGTGTTGTTAGCAAGGTCTAGAAAATCCACTTGTTTAACATTAGTAGGGACTATTGTCCTAAGACGTAAATCCTTAAATACCCTATAGATCATTTTCTTAATACGGTCTACCTTAAGTTTAGTGGAGTTTTTAACAACTAATAAGCCATTATCTCTATACAATCCTACACTATCAGAATCTAGACAATCAAAGGCACTTAAATTATACAAAAGAAATAATCCAACCAGGTCAGAAGCTTCAGCAGAATCCAGAGAATCCATCGAAATGTCAAAATTGTTGTTGCAAGACTTTTTGGTCCACTGTTCATCCTTGTAGATCAGAACAGAATTTCGGCATTTCATGATGATGTCCACTTCACTCTCAGAAATATTAGAGTATTCCCGAGCGAAATCCAAGGCCAAAGTGAAAAGATTCTTCGATATAGAGGGATAATAGTCGATAATATCGAACTATATGAAAGTATAGTTTCCCTTATATCGGATGTTATTAAACCAGTTGATAACATCAGCTGTATTAATCCACTGTAGTAGTCCAAGGGTGTTTTTTATGGAGTGGTTGGTTCTTTCCAAGATAGCCTTACTAATTCTACCGATTTCTGGTCTAGTAGGGTTTATAAGCCTAGTAGATGGCTTAGTTTTGAGTTCGGGTTTATGGTCTTTTAACAAGACATAGGCTTCCTTAGTTTGTAGTTTACTGACCCGATCACTAATCAATAGTTTATCAGTAATTGATTTACTGATACTGTTAATCTTATCTATTAGGTTGAAGTTATTTGTATCAATTTTTTGTAGCTTCTGGTTAGACTATCCCTAAGGTATTATAATCCTCAGGAGATAACTTTTAAAAAGTTATCCGTTTTGTCGGATTTAACATATATTTCACCAGATTTATTAATGTCCTTGATGATACTATCAAGATTTTTTGGAAGGCATTTTTGTATTTATAGAAGGTTAATCCCTTGACGATATCCAATAGTTCATTTTCAAAAGCAGATAATTGCTTAATAATTGGTGCAGTTTTTAGGCTTTTAAAACCATAGATTTCGCGTTCACACAATGGTTTCTTGTCTTGAAGAAAGAAGTATGTTAAATTTTTTTTAAATAACTAATTTATATATATATATATATATATATATATATATATATATATATATATCTGAGCTATCATCTTAATTCATCCAGTGAGTGGTATTTCGACCAACATCCAGCCAGCTTTTATCCAACAGACTATTTTTTTTAACAAACCATTGAAAAGTCACCATTGATAATACTAATCTAAAAAGATACACAATCCAACGGTTTTTCGGTCAGCATCCAACCAGCTTTTTTGTCTTTTTTTTTCTTTTACTTAAAACATCGAAAAGTCACCATCTATAATATCAGTCCAAACGTTACAAACCTACGCCATGTAGAAATTTAAACCTGTGAGTGGTGCTTTGGTCATTTTCTTTTCGTGATAGCACGTCATTTGTTGAGGTAAAAATAGTTGAAAAATCTCTCATTATCCATGCTGTTGTCCAATTTATTAAATTTTCTTTTAAATTAAATCTGATTTTTCTCATAAATTTTATCTTGCTGCTAGTGAAATTATCAACTTACCCTTAACAGAGCTGCATAGGAGACGACTTTGGTCTCAACTAAATTTCTTCAAATTTCGTAGATACCTGTCTGTCATTTTTGTAATTGCTAGTAAAGTTTTGCCATTTGAATGATCTGAAGTTATAAAACAATTGATTTTATCAGAGCAATATCTGGATTCATTTTAACGATTTAAGCTAGCAACATTGTTGTTAATTTACGACATTGTTGTTAATTTACGACTTCGAATTTCAAGATATTATAAATGGCTGCCATTTGTTTATATCAGTATAGAACTGGTCGCTTTTCGTATTCAATGTACAGATTACATACAAAATAGCGAATAATGGGAGATGCAGTTCATATCTGTAATAGGTGTGTTGTTTTATAAGTATATATAAGTATGTATAATTATCTATATAAAATGTGACAAGGTTGTTTTAGTCTTATTCCTTATAATTCTGTGTTTTAATTCCCATGAAGGAAAGCATATTATATGATATGACTCATATAATATCGTTATAAGAATGTGAAGATACAAAATTGTACATCAACACAATTTTGAGGAAATCAAATAACTTGTTTTGTGGGTTTACTGGAATCATATATATATTTTAAAGTGTACACATGTGAGATACCAAAACGCAGTTTAAAGAAGAGAAATAAGGAGAGTACCTTAAGAGAGGCAATGAGAGAGTGACAGAAAGAGAAACATTCAGAGAAAGAGAGAAGGAAAGAAAGAAGCCATGCATTTTCACAATATATATATAGATGCGAAGAGAGAGAGAGAGAGAGAGAGAGAGAGAGAGAGAAAGAGAGAGATAGGTTGTAGAAGTAATGGAAGGGCAATGAAGGCCAAAGACCGCAGGAGAGAGCGTGAGAGAGAGATAGACAGAGACAGAGAGAGACAGCTTTGATCTCAAGTGAGAGAGAATGAGACACAGAGAGAGAGACGAGATCAATCAGGTAGAAGGAGAGAGAGTTGGAAGAGATAGAGAGGGATAGATAGATAGATAGAGAGAGAGAGAGAGAGAGAGAGAGAGAGAGAGGGGGAAGAGAGGGAAAGAGAGCAGGGGCAATAAAGGCCAAAAATCGCATTTGTCTACCCACTTCTGCTAAACAAGCGAATTTGTCCCCGATCAGCAATGATGTTTCCGATCCAAGAAGTTTTAGCGCTTTGAGAACGAGGTAAACAACCTCATTTCCTAACTTTTTACCCTGAGTCGCTCATGGGTCCTGTACTTAGTGGAAAAAAGTAAGTAAAAGAAAGAAAATTTCTATGACTGAAATACCTATGTATTCAATGTAAAATTTCCAAACTGTTTTTTTTTCGAAATGACAGACTGAATGCACATTTCAAAACTGTTTATTTTTTTCTTTGGAAACTTTGATATACACTTGATACGTAGTCATTTTGAACGCAAGTACACTTTTAGAAGATAAAATTTAAAAAAATAAAGAGACAAAAGAAAAACACCATCTGTGAATTTCTACCAGGAAGAGATTAAAATGCAAGATTAAAGATTGGCTACATCGATCTGATTGGTGAAAGTTTGGCCAATCATATTGCAGAATTTCATTATATATTTGCGAATACAACAAAGTGGCTCTAATTCCTCTGATTTGACGCAGAACATCATCAGGTAAAACAATCAAAAGCCTCGCATATTTATTTACATTTCTTTCTTACATATATATATATATATATATATATATATATATATATATACGGAATGGTGAATGTGAAAACATTCCTCGTTGTGTCAAAGAAAAATAGAAACTTACTTCATTTTTATGATACATAGAAATGATTGCAATATTTTATGAAGACGAAAATGCAGAAGTTCACTCAGCAATTCGCATTCATCTTTATTTTTTCTCTCTATCCCAAATCATTTTTGCCAGCGATATTTTCAGCCGTTTGGATGATAGATGTTCTTTTATAGCACTCTATTAACTCACAATCTACAAGATCACTGAAGAAAGATACTGCTCATAAAAATTAGAGACCTTTGTAAATCAAATTTCCGAAAACGTCTCTGTATTGTAGTGTTATTGACTCACAGAAAGTAGTATGCACTCAACTGCCCATGGATAATAGCCGTAGCCTTTATGACCTCTTATGTAAATGAGTCACCGCATCTCCCTGTATCGAAGAGGATTTATCCCTTATTTTCTTCTTCTGGAAGCTTTTGCCGCCTCACTACCTTTCTGTTGTTCATGATGACGGTCGTCTTCGAGTATAGAATCCAGAGGTTAGCAGTGAATATTTTGAAGACAGTAGGAAAGCGTTGTTCAGGTTAGCAGTGAATAAATATATATGCACACACACACACACACACACACACACACACACACACACACACACACACACACACACACACACACACATATAAATATATATATATATATATATGTACACACACACATATATATATATATATATATATGCACACACACACATATATATATATATACTGTATGTAGTATGATATTCTCTAGTTTAGTTTTCGTGTCGCGTGTCAAAATTATTACCAATGATTATTGCCACTTAGAAGGGTTGACTGAAAAGTTCGCAGACTGAACTGAGAAATTTACACGTATTAATTTCAACTCTTCTTATTAATGACTGCATTGTTTATTCCCTGTTAAACTGACATTCAACTTTTCGAGCAGGACTTTAAAAGTAACTAGTATCAACGTCTCTTGAAAAATAGACAAAATTTGATATCATGGTATTATCAACTACGTTCATAAAAAAAAGGTTTAACACCCAAGGACATTTATAGTGGCATGGTTGCCGCATTAGAGGATGGAGTACCAGCTTTTTCAGCAGTGAAAAAGTGGGGAGTTGAATGTAGTAGATGTAGGGAGAGTCTTGAAGATGATCCAAGGTATGGACGTCCTGCAATTACTGCCACCGTGAAAAATATTGATTGTGTTGATCATTTGGTGAATGATGACGGGCGATTGACTGTAAATAAAATAGTCAATGCTATTAGCATATCTCGTGAGAGAGTTGAGAATAATCTGCACAATGAACTTGGCATCAGGAAGGTTTCTGCTCTGTGGGTGGCACGTCTTCTGACAACTGATCAAAAGGCACCAGGCTGATGACACCACGGAAAAATCTGACAGACATAGCTTGAAGTAGATCCAGCAGGTTATCTTGAACTTTTCCTAACCCAGTGTTTGGTTCAATCACGGAGACAAAGAGACAATCAATTCAGTGGAAAAATCCCTCCTTACTTGCTTCAAAGTAACTCAAGGTCGTTTCATCTTTTTTTTTTTTTTTTTTAAGCATTACGCCCCGAGCAAGGCGTGAAGCCACTAGGATGCAGGGGGTTGCAGAAGATTTGGAGCAAGAGCAGATAGGAGTGATAGAAAAAAGGATGAGGAAAGGGATAGTTGGTAGATCAAGGTAACTGGAGGTGTCGATTAACATTACATTTGAATAGTTGGAGATTATAGCTCTCAGGGAAACAGTAATTGGGAAGGGTGTTCCACAGGCGAGAGGTATGAGGTATGAAGCTATTGGAGTAGAGGAGACGGCTACATTTAAAAGTTTCTACAGTGTAAGGGTGGGAGCTGGATGCCAGCCTCGTAGAAGTTTTGGACTCAGTTTTTGGTGATGAAAAAAGGCATTGTGATTATTGACTAACTTTAAAAGGGCCACACTATCAATGGAGAGTACAATGACAAAATGTTGATTCAGTTACAAAAGACAAAATCAAACGCCCAGGAAAACTGACTAAAGAGACCTTGTTTCATCAGAACAATGCTCCTGCACACAAGTCCTCTGTTTCTAAGTCTTTGAATTCGTTGACCACCCTCCCTATTTACCCTGATTTGGGCTCATCATTTATGTCTGTTCCCTGACATAAAAAACACATGGCTGGAAACTAATAATTCAGTGATGAAGATGATGCCATATATGCTGTTGATGACTTTTTTGACTAACAGGATAACAGCTTCTTCATCAATAAGATCCAAGCATTGCAACACCGTTGGAAGAATGTATGGATTATGCTAAAAAATACACCGCATTTGGTCACATTCTACCTTCGCCAGTCTATGAACGTTTCAGCCGACCCTGGTATATAGTCATGTGATAGAAGCTATGCGTAGTTGAACTAATCCCGTCAAATATTACACTTGTAGAATGAGATGAAAGATATGTTTTTAACACCATATAATATCCTTCTCTCACACACATTTACATGCATACTCGTGCGTGTAAATGTGTGTGTGTGTGTGTGTGTGAGTGAGAGAGAGAGATATTTTATTTGTACATTGGTGCACGGATATTTGCACGAATGTCTTTAATTTAAATAGAAATGACAACATATTAATTCTTAATTATAGATTTGACGTTGACATTATCACAGAATTAATCTATCTTAGTCTGATCATTATCTATCTATCTATCTATCTATCTATCTATCTATCTATCTATCTCATTCTGCTCATATATATCTATTATTAATGAATAAGTTCTTATTAAAAAGTTTTTCTTGCCATTCTTCAGCCATGAAGCTTGTTTTCATCTTTGCGACTCTTATCTCCTTGGCACTGGCTGCCGATATCGACTCAGCTGAGCCGAAGGTTGCCGTTTATTCTTCCGAAGACATAACTCCTTACACCAAAGTGTCAAGTAAGTGTTTCTTAGTTAAATTTTACGTTTTCGTCATCAAAATTATTTACCGCTGTATGTTAAAGCATTCCCAGAGAATGCTTTTTAAAATTATTTACCGATTAGATTAAAACCTCAGTTTAATTTCGGGAGATGAACACTTCCCATTGGTCTATATTTCATTAATTTTGGATGTAATGTATGAGAGCGTGGACCAATAAATTTTGAAATCCTGATTCTAAAAATTTTAGATCTACGTGTCTGTTACTCACCACTGATATGAAATAGTTAAAAAGTTGGAGATTAAAATAAAAAATATATTTTCGGGACGTATAATCTAAGAGTAGACTCTCTTGCGCCAAGATTATCCATACTTTTGATAATCTGCATCTGGTCGAAAAAATAAAATTCTGCGACTCCATTAAGTTTCATAACGTGTAAGCAATGACGAATTCCAAATCATATTATTTAACATACAGACCAATCGGTACGAGAAGGAATGTGCAGTAAATGAGATTATGGTTACCAGGGAAGCAAGTAAGAGGAAGGGAGTTTCACTGTCGGGGAAGTACGAGTGAAGAGGATGTTACTTTAGAAGAGGCGCTTCCATTTAACTGTTTCTTCAGTAAACGAGCAGTTAACCTAGTAGCTTGCTTAAATCAATGTAGTCGGAGCAAAAAGTGAAAATAGCTCGTCAGAGCAGATGCCATGACATGATACCGTAAAAACACAACTTTATATCGTCTAATCAATGGCGAATTAAGTCTCATATTATTTAATATTCTGACCATTTCGAAAAATGCCAAGATCTTTCGGCTGTTAAATAGTATTAAGAAATTGGTTTTGGGAATTATTCAAAAAATTTTTCAGTTCATATTTTGTGTTTATATTGTTGAAAATGAACTTAAAATCATTTAATTAATATTCAAATAAATAACTTTCTAACAAATTTGTAACAACTGATTCTGAAACTAAAATATCGATAGAAAATTTTCATATTATTATTTTATGTCTTCATCGTCTAATTGTTTAGTAAATTTACTGCAACGAAATGTTGTTTCCTTAGAAAAGTGTCAGGCTAAAGATACAGGACAAATGTTTTATGAAACACTTTTCTTTTATAAACAAACAAATCAAAATGCTTTTCGGCACAATAATCCCCTTTTATATGTTTTCTTTCCGACGCTAAATAGTGAAACAAATATATGTTATTTATAGTGATTTGGGAGAAGGTTTCTGTTTGGAGGAAGCAACTGGAGCTCGACGACTTTTAGTTTATGAAGGAATATTTCAAGTAATAATATTTTGATATTTTTTATCTGTTTTAGTGCGTGAAGCTGTCGCCATCTTGTGCAGAGAATTGCGTACAAGTACGATGGGCTGTAATGATTTTTGTGATCAACATTTCACTCCAATATTTATTTGCCCCGAAATCTGTGAAAAGTAAGTATTGCATTTTGAACTTTTCCCTGGAGAATTTCTCATCTTCGGTTGACGAAGATACCGCTACGATCTATTGTCAGCAATTGTTAATGATACAGTTCTCAGTTCAGTTGAATTTTTTATGTTATTTTAAAGAACTGTTTTATGTTTCGATATCATAGTACAATATCACAGAAACAATTGACGGCGATTATAATCTTAGGGGATAATAAATATCATAGTATAGAAAGGCAAATCTCATTGACTGGTTTGCCTAAAATATTAATTTGATGACTATTAGGTTAAGTGACGTCATTTTTCTGGAATTTGTTTCCTGCTCCATAATAAAAGTATTATCAGCAATTACATGCATTGCTCATTTCACTTGTATTTTTTTACGTTAGTTAAATAGGTGCATAGATTTTCAGTATCTTATTACGGTATCATGGAAGCCACTGATGACGTCAATGTTTTTGGGCTGAAGATTTTATTAGTATTTGCAAGAACAGCATTGCATTTCTAAAAATATAGACTGGATGGCGAGGAGATCGTCAGTGAAGACATTGGTTAGGAATTCCGTCACTGTCCCCCTAATAAAACTGTCTTTAAGTTCGGTTATATCCAAAAAAAAAAAAAAAAAAGAACTCTTCTGATGTCTGTCATAGGACACTCTCCATTCATATGTGACGGTATGAAATATATTAAGAATAAACAACATTTTTAAGAATACGTACATTTTTGATGACACGTCAACGGTTTTCATTGTTCATTTCTAGTAAGAAGTGTTGGCGTAAAATGTTCACCGAAAATCTCGTCTGAAAAGCGTGCGATTTCTCTCTTTAAGCGAATACTTTACAAAAACATCAAATTCGTACGTCAAAAGGAATGATTATTTAAAACATTTTCTAGTATTCTCCTTTGTTATTATCGATTCTTTCAATGTCGATATTCATATCATTCACTTGAAGGTTGAGAGAATTGCGAATTTAATTATTTTCCTGATAGAATTCTTAACAACACCTACCATGAAGAAATGTTTCTTGTAATGTAAATTTTTCTATGTACAATGAAACTAAATTCACTTTTGACTTTAATTGTAATTATTCACGATAGTAAAATGTTTAATGTTTACCGTGAATGGGTTTTATTCAAATGTTACAACTTTGTTCTTCTTTTACAGTTACAGAAAGAATGGGTGCTGAAGATAAAATCAATCTACTATACCGAGGAGCTGATCTATAATTAGTTGTCATTGATTGTTGAATAAAATTTCTAGAAATGTGATTCTTGTCTTTACTTTTTACTTTGTTCATAACTCGAAAAATAGAATCACGCATTATGTGTCAACACCAACAGTCACGTTTCAATTAAAAAAAAAATACACCAATGATGTTTTAAGTTACCAAATACAAAGTGGTGTCAAATATTTCCAGGACTAGTTATGCAAAAATATATATATATACGAAAATAGATAAATAAATAATAAAAATTACGAAATAGTCACTTTGTTCAGTAATAAACCGATCCCAGAATTCTTGCAATATTTGGAATTTGGCCTAAATTTCGTTTTTCTTGTAGGCCCATAATTTCAGGACTAGTTATGTTAAAAAAAAGTAATGTATTTACCTAAGTTTCAACATCTCCTGTGAAATAGTCACTGTGCGCCACAATATTTTGGTCACACGTTCTTGAAACAATTGAAATTTGGCCTTGAAGTCGTTTTTCTTAAACGTGTCGCTAACCATCTTCGATTCGCTCTTGATCTCAGCAACGGTATTAAAACGGCGACCCTTGAGTTGTATTTTCAGTTTGGAGAAGAGATGGGGGTCCGTAGGTACTAAATCTGGCGAATAGTTGCGGAAGCGATACAATGTTGTTTTGGGATAGAAATTCACGAGTGACGCTCGTGGGAAGTCTGGCAGATCGCTCGTCATCTCATAAGGACTTTCGTCCGCTTTTGAAGAGCCCTTGCCACTCGCAACATTGCGTACGATCCATTGCCTCGTCGACGTAAGCTGTCCAAACAAGGCTTAATATCTTTGTAGTAGACTTCCCAGGTTGTACGTAAAATTTCACGTTGGCTTTTTGTTCCAACTTCCTGTTCATGACAAAATCGCAGATTATACACGTGATCACACAAACACAAATTTCACATCTTGCTCAGTGAACACAGCGATTTCCCTCGGCACATTGACGCATGATGGTCACTGTAGCCGTGTGTTGCCATCTGTTGAAGTCCTACAGAATTAGTCCGGAAACATTTTGGTACTACATCGTATATGTTTGGCGGGCTTTGTAGTATGTGGTCGTTGAATGTAATTAATTACCAAACACAATAAAAACACATCCTTGAAGCTGTCAACAAGTTCCTTCCCTCTGTCACTTCCCCATGACCATGTTCTCTCATCCACTTGCTTAAAATCACAAATAGAAAAAAACTACTATTCATATTTTATGTTGAAAGTAGTAAATGATTCTTTATACCATATTAAAATTGAATCCTTGTTGTTTTTTATTTAACTTGCATATTAAAGATTATATCTTTGAAAAAAGTAGACTCGTATGTAGGGTATACAAAGCCTACCCTTTCTCGTAGGCTCACATGTCATAATTGCTACAAAAATGTGATGCTTATATAATATTAGGTGTTAATATCAATTATTAATTATTATCACTTGTTAGTAACGTAATGACACTCGACAAATAAATTTTAAGAAAAAGCTATGAATTTTTAGAAGTTATCCATATGTAGTCACAACAATGAGCAATCCAGAAAGTCAGTTTGATTTCCGCGATAGGAATTCTAAAATATGTTTATATTGTCATAAATTTGTTTTCTTTTGTAACGCTCAAAACACTCAGAGGAACACACGCACATAAAAATACACACAAATACAAATATGCACACGATGTCTCTTTGACTCTTTAACACACTCACGCACACACATACAAAACATCTACAGAAATAAATAGGTAAATCCAATAATAATTTCGATTACATATTATTATCCATATATGTCTATATATTTATAAATCTTTTAATTGGAAATTATGCCGACAAATTGAATCAAAGAAAACAATATAACATAATTGTTTGCTCATAAAATCATAATTTTTTGGAAGCAGTTATCTACTTCTTGAACCATGGCACTATGTTAGCGTTCAAAATCAATGTACGAGGAAAAGTAAAAAATTATCCGCAAAAGATATGTTATTGTAAAATGTTTTTTGTCTTGCCTTCGTAATTGTTCATTTTAAACCATCAAAGAGGTAACCATATATAATCCCATCCTAAAGCTTTACTGTTATGGGGTCCACCCTTTTCGGATATAATGGACTCGTCCTGCTGCCATAAAATAGCCACAGTCAGGCAGAGAATATGAGACGTACATGAGTCGTACATGAGTAGTCGACAGTGAGTGTCGGATAGAATAAAGTAACCTCTTGTAGAAGTCAGTTACAAGCACGTAGACTCTAAGGAAGTCCTACTTCGAGACTGTATATATCTATCTGTATTTGCTACTAACCGTGTTCCTGGATTTTACTAACAGCATTACCTTTTGTATTTTGTGTAAATACATTTAATTTCTTAGCTTAAA